CTGAACTGCAGATCACAGTCAGCTAAAGTGGCCTGCAGTACTGCACCCTAACCACTGTGCCACCTCGGCTCTATTCTGAAACATTAAAATGAAGAGAGCTAATGGTTAATTTTCTACTTTTAAGTCATATGTGCTTCTTACGTAGTGATAGATTTGATAACCGACATAATATATTTATCTTAATTTTGTAATATTAGCAAGAAATGAGCCAGTAATACACATCACAACTTTACTGAAAGTTAATAATAATAAAGCAGATACCCCTTAAAATGCTAAAATGGCAAAATTCCCTGAATAATTGAGCCTAAAACATCCATAAGCCTGGATAATGCCAAGGAAAAGAAATTAGTCTTAAGGCTTTTCCTAAAAGCTGGTACTACATTTTTTTATTTTGGGGTTTCAGCCAAAAAGACCCCCTTCCCCTCAGATACCCATCATATTGTTGGAAAGGGGTCAATCTTCTCGCCTAATTCAGATTTGCATCTGTTTGCAAATTATTCAGCCTAATGATTCTTTGTCCTATAACTCAGTTTTAATTGAGTCAGATTTCAACATGGGCTACCCAAAACAGCTTGCTATTTCTTGCTGTTTCATAAATATGCTTGCCTGTAGCTCGCTTAAAAACTAGTTCTCTCCCTTCATAATCAACCTTCCTCTGGATCTCAGCCTGGTGAAAGCTTAGGGAATATACAATAGCCTTAACTCATGTTTGCTCAGATTGTTCAGGGATCTCTGCAGCAATGTGAGGATTAAAGCATTTCCCTTGTGAGTTTTGATGCACCTGAGCTGCAGTTTAATCGGCATAAAATTACAGTGTCTTTTGCGTTAGTCACAGCTTCGGCTTTATACCTATAATCAGGTAGCTACTTCAGGCGTGCCCAAAGTGTTTGGACTACACCTCTCTCCTTTCAGTGTAAGATTGAACACCTGGCTGTGAAATAGTTCTGTGTTTGGAAGCCCAGAACCCTATTGAATGAGTCCGCGTGGCACAGTTTTTTCTAACCTTGGCAACTTGAAGATTGGTGGACTTCAACCCCCAGAATTCTAGGGATTGAAGTCCACCGATCTTCTAGTTACCAAGGTTGAGAGACGCTGATGTAACAGACAGTGGATCCAGAAGGAGCACTGATCCAGTAGGATCTTGTCCAACTAGCATCTGCCTTTGAAGCAGAGAATATGACCCGAAGTTTTATTTTACATGTATTGTGGATCAAACATCTGAACTATTTCTCCTCTTCCCAGATTATACGGGTCCTCTGGTGGTATTACTTCTCAAAGTTCATTGAATTTATGGATACTTTCTTCTTTATATTACGGAAAAATAACCACCAAATCACCGTTCTTCATGTGTTCCACCATACAACGATGTTGAATATTTGGTGGTTTGTTATGAACTGGGTGCCTTGTGGCCACTGTAAGTATTCTTGTGACTCAGGATGAGAGAGTGATTGTGTGTGTGTGTGTATGATACTGTATATACCGGGGATGGCGAACCTATGGCACGCGTGCCAGAAGTAGCACACAGAGCCCTCTATCCGTGCACGCCAGCCGCCACCCATTACTCTTCTGGGTTCCAGCGCACATATGCGCACCGGTCTTCATGCAGCACCGGAAACTGGAAGAGCGACTACCTGGTGCGCATCTGTGCACCGGGAAAATTAGCTTCCAGTTTCCGGCATGTATGGTCTGCATGCACACCAGAAACCAGTGCCGAAAAGATTCGCCAACACTGGTATATACCGATACACATCTATGATTCTAGAAGAGTTTCATTTTTTTAAAAAAAAGATTATATGTGCATACAGGTAGTCCTCGACCTATGACAAGAATTGAGGCCAAAATTTCCTTTGCTAAGCAAGACAGATATTGAGTTTCGCCCCATTTTACCTCTTTTTTCTTGCCAGAGTTGTTCAGTGAATCACGGCAACTGTTAAGTTAGTACAGTGGTGGGATTCAGCCAGTTCGCACCTATTCGGGAGAACCGGTTGGTAACTTTCTAAGGCAGTTCGGAGAACCGGTTGTTGGAAGAAATCTCATTTTGGTTTTTTTCCCACTTTACAGGGCTAATCCTAATCTAGCCTAATCTTTATTGCCCTGCTTACAGAAGATGCCTCTCCGGTTAACCCTTATTCCATTGTAACAGCTAAGGCGAAGCGCCCATCAACTTGAGGAACGTTGAGTTGGCCACGCCCACCCACTCACATGACCACCGAACCCCCATCTACCCAGCTGGTCATTAGGGCAGAGAACCGGTTGTTAAATTATTTGAATCCCACCACTGAGTTAGTAATGCGGTTAAGGGAATCTGGCTTCTCCATTGACTTTGCTTGTCAGAAAGTCAGAAAAGGTGATAGC